GCTTTCTGTGGAGAGAAAGAGCAGACGTTATACAAGCTGACCACGCCCACCAATCTTCCCGTCAGTCATTGTACCATTGTGATGGGCCCGTCCCTCAGGGGCCCGGAGGGGGTACTGTGATGGAATGGGCATGTCTTTCAGGGGCCCAGCCTGTCTTTCAGGGGCCCAGAAGGGCATTATGATGTGATGGGCCTCATCCTCAGGTGGCCAATCTGATGTTACGTGGCTGTCCCTTAGGGGTCCAGGAGGGGCATTTTAATGTGATGGGCCCTTCCTTCAGGGGCCCAGAAAGGCATTGTGATGAAATGGGCCCACAGGGGCAATGTGATGTGACATGGGTGTCTCTCAGGGGTATTATGATGTGCTGGGCCCTTAGGGGCACAGAAAGGCATTGTGATCTGGCATGTCTGTTAGGGGTCCAAAGCGGCTTCATTATGTGATGGGCCTGGCTCTCAAGGGCCCAGAGTGGCATCGTTATGTGAAAGGCCCACAGGGGCAATGTGATATGACATGTCTGTCTCTCAGGAGCCTAGAGGCATAATATGATGTGACGGGACTCTCTCTCAGGGGCCCAGAGGGGTATTATGACGTGATGGGCCCCCGGGCCCCCCCCCGGTCTCCATTGTCCTCTCACCTGGCGGGCGGTCAGCAGGGTCTCATCGATCTCCCGCTTCAGGTCTCCGTTCACATCCAACTCTCCTCTCTCCAGCGCGTCCAACCAGCGGCTCTCCTCATCCTGCTCCGTCTCCCGGGGCCCGACCATAGAGGGCATGGGGTCCAGATTACTGTCCTCATCTGTAGGGGGGCGGGGAATTCAGATACAGAGTATTATCACAGCTCCCTCGGGGCCCGCTCTCTAAACTCCACCCAGAGGACGGACATGACAGGATTGGGGCACACGGTGGAATGTACCCTCGGGGGAGGGCTTTCCCGGGAATGGACCCTCGGGGGAGGGCTTTCCCGCTACAATACCCCCGGGGGAGGGCTTTCCCGCTACAATACCCTCGGGGGAGGGCTTTCCCGGGAATGGACCCTCGGGGGAGGGCTTTCCCGCTACAATACCCCCGGGGGAGGGCTTTCCCGGGTGGGCCTATGCATTAGACTAATGTTGCTCCCTATACAGTGGCAGCGCTCAAAAGCCACAATCCATCTCCACCCCGGGGCAGGAGGGGTGTGGCTTTCCTCTGGCAGCACATTCTGTGGCCCCCAACCCGAGGACCCCCCACACACATGTTCTCACCCAGCCAGGCCCGGTACTGCTCGATGGGGACTCCTTCCAGCGGCTCATCATCATCATCCACCACCATCAGCGGGGACTGCGGCACCTCCGGAACCACCGTGAATGTGGGGACACTGCAGAAGGGAGCACAGGAGAGGTCAGTGCAGGCAGAGTTCAGGAACCAGTCACCGTCCCCTCATACATGACCCCGCTACTGACCCTCAGGAGAGTCACCGTCCCCTCATACATGACCCCACTACTGGCCCTCAGGAGAGTCACCGTCTCCTCATCACTGCCCCTGCTACTGACCCTCAGGAGAGTCACCCTCCCCTCATCCATGACTCCACTACTGACCCTCAGGAGAGTCGCCGTCCCCTCATATATGACACCGCTACTGACCCCCAGGAGAGTCACCATCCCCTCATACATGACACCGCTACTGACCCTCAGGAGAGTCACCGTTCCCTCATACATGACCCCGCTACTGACCCTCAGGAGAGTCACCGTCCCCTCATACACATCACTACTGACCCTCAGGAGAGTCACCGTCCCCTCATACATGACACCGCTACTGTCCCTCAGGAGAGTCACCGTCCCCTCATCCATGACACCGCTACTGACCCTCAGGAGAGTCACCGTCCCCTCATACACATCACTACTGACCCTCAGGAGAGTCACCGTCCCCTCATACATGACCCCACTACTGACCCACAGGAGAGTCACCGTTCCCTCATCCATGACCCCACTACTGACCCTCAGGAGAGTCACCGTCCCCTCATACATGACCCCACTACTGGCCCTCAGGAGAGTCACCGTCTCCTCATACATGACCCCGCTACTGACCCTCAGGAGAGTCACTGTCCCCTCATACATGACCCCACTACTGACCCTCAGGAGAGTCACCGTCCCCTCATACATGACCCCACTACTGACCCTCAGGAGAGTCACCGTCCCCTCATACATGACCCCACTACTGACCCACAGGAGAGTCACCGTTCCCTCATCCATGACCCCACTACTGGCCCTCAGGAGAGTCACCGTCCCCTCATACATGACCCCGCTACTGACCCTCAGGAGAGTCACCGTCTCCTCATCACTGCCCCTGCTACTGACCCTCAGGAGAGTCACCGTCCCCTCATACATGACCCCGCTACTGACCCTCAGGAGAGTCACTGTCCCCTCATACATGACACCGCTACTGGCCCTCAGGAGAGTCACCGTCCCCTCATACATGACCCCGCTACTGACCCTCAGGAGAGTCACCGTCCCCTCATACATGACACCGCTACTGACCCTCAGGAGAGTCACCGTCTCCTCATCACTGCCCCCGCTACTGACCCTCAGGAGAGTGAGGAGCCACCAATAGTGGGAAGGGGGAGAGGGATCAGAACATGGAGGTGTCACATGATCGGGGGAGGTGTCACATGATCGGGGGGGGAGGTGTCACTCACTTTTTGGTCCCCAGGACTTGTCCTCCGAGTTTAATCTTCAGTTTCAGTTGTGGCTTGTGGTGGGTTTTGTGGGTGGAGTCAGCAGGGCGGAGTTGCGGGAAGGTTCCGCCCACTTCCTGGTGATGTTTCTTCTTATGTTTCTTGTGTTTCTTATGTTTCTTCTTGTGAGCGCCGTGTGATGAGACGTCCCCCTCGTCACCTGACCCGGGGAGAGAG